AAAAAAAATAGAAAACTCAAAACAGCCCTAGGAGATATATACTATTCATATGCCCGATTTAGGTCAGGTACAGTGGCTCACACCTGTAATTCCAGCACTTCTGGAGGCTGAGGGGGGTGGATCACCTGAAGCCAGGAGTTCGAGACCAGCCTGGCCAACATGGTGAAACCCCATCTCTACTAAAACTACAAAAAAATTAGCCAGGCATGGTGATGAGTACCTATAATCCCAGCTACTCAGGAGGCTGAGGCAGGAGAATTACTTGAACCCAGGAGGAAGAGGTTACAGTGAGCCAAGATCACACCACTGCACTACAGCCTGGACAACAAGAATGAAACTCCGTCCAAAAAAAACCCAAACAAACCAACTTAGAGATAAAGAAACAGAGGCAGGGCATGGTAGGTCCGGCCTGTAATCACAGCACTTTTTGGAGGCCAAGGAGGGAGGATTGCTGGGTGTGGTGGTATGTGCCTGTAACCCCAGAGACTGAGGGAGCTGAGGTGGGAGGATGATGTGAGCCCAGAAGCTTGAAGTTATGGTGAGCTGTGATTGCAACACTGACCTCTAGCCTGAGTGACAGAGTGAGACCCTGTCTCTAAATAAATAAATAAAAAGAAATAAATAAACTGAGGCCAAGATCATACAGAGAGTAAGTGACAGAGCTGGGATTTGAACTCAGGCAGTCTAGTTCCAGAGTTCTTAATAACACACATAAAGTGCCTGGTCCTAAAAACGCGCTGCATGAAAACAGCTCTGGCCACGATGATTATTGCTGTGTGTCTTCTCCCTCCCTCTAACCCAAACTCTCCTTTTCCCCAGGGCTGCTGGTACTTACTTGGCCACCACGGAGTCCCCACTGTCAATTAGGGTGGGTGATGGGGAGGCCCCCATCTGTCCCTCAGTGGTGCTGGGTGGGGAAGGGGTCCCTGAACTGGATGGCCAGGACTCCTCAGACAGCTCAGGGGAGTTGGGACTTGTGGCTGGAGGCTTGGGAGCTTGTGGGAGCCTGGATCTCTGAGACCTGGATGGGCTCAGGGTCTAAGATGGGAGAACAGAAGAAGAAAAAGTGTGAGGTCTGATGCGTCATCCCTACAGGGGAGCCAAGACACACAAGAATTCTCAGTCCAGAGGGGAGGAAACTCATCCAATAATGATAATGACCTAGAGTGATGGGGGCTCAGAAGGGAATCCAGGTGGTAGAGAGGCAGACAAGGCCAGGGCCATAGGGAGGGGAGAAGGGCCTGTCTCTTAAATCTCTCATCACATGTCTTCCTACCCTCTAGAGGTCATTCTCTTGCTACTGGGCTGGCACTCAGCACTCTTTGAGGGGTGTACTCACCTTGGGACACGAGGTCTGACTCCGGGATGGCCAGTAGTGGCTTCTACCCAAGGGCGCACCTCCAAAGGGATTCTCTTGAATGGAGAAAACTGGCAGGCTGCAAGAGGAAAGTGGGGTTCGGGCAGCAAGTGGTTTCGCTGCAGCCTTGGGGAGGGGAACACTAGAGGAGGGCAGAACCAGACAATTCCCATAGATTCCTGGAGGAGAGGGACTGTTATTCCCATGAAGCACCGCTGCACCTTCAGGATAGCAACAGTGGAAGCGTGAGTCCTGGGAGCCGGCCCTTGGAGGAGTCTTAACAGGGAGCAACTCAGGAACCGGCAGCCGGTGGTTCTCAACCCTGGATGCAGTCTAGGAGGGGCTTTTCTACGTTACAGACGCGCGGTTCCCATTCCAGACCAACAGAATCAGAATATCTGTTAGTGGGGGCTCAGCCTCCGGGTCTTTTCCGCAGCGTCCCAGGTGACTGTGAGGTGGAGCTCAGGTTAAGAACCGCGGCTGGACTCTGTCACCGAGCATTTCCCATAAATTCCTGGGGACACGAAGGCGAAGGGTAGATGGACTACAAGCCCCAGGATCCACTGGGCTCCGCCTCCGAGAGAAAGTTCAAAGACAACGCCCAGGCGTGTTTGGGGGCCATTTCAAAATTTAAAAATTCAGATCTCAAGCTCTCCTTGGACACCTTTAGAGGAAATAATCCCTTGGGGCCCCTTAAAGAGGAACCTAAGACTCTAAGGGATCCCCGGGATGCTGAAGGCTACGGTTGGAAAGGCCAAAGGCTGTTGGGAGCTGTAGTTTCAGTGCGTTGGAGCCCTAGCGACTCCAGACCCTATCTGGCCCGCCCCCAGGCTGTGCTGCTAAGAGGGATCGACCTCACCTGCGGTCCATCCCGCGGCTCCTACTGCACTTCCTCCTGCTCTGCGCCGTCACCAAACAGGCCCCGTGCGCATCTCCGTCGCTTAGCAACGCCCTATCAGCCCGCCCCTCTTAGTGCCCGCGCAGGAAGCGAGCGGCCTCCAAGGCCACCAATGAAAGAGAGAAAATAAAAGTAACCGGAAGGAGGTGTCTCACGATTGGTTGGAACGCCTGCCTGCCCGACAGAGCGCGTTTGATTGGAGAATCTGCGGCGAGTAGCAGTAATTGGCAAGACCGTGCACCAATGGGAAGGATTTGAGGCTGGGCTTGCAGTTAGGAGGTGATCTAAAGTTTCTTCACTTAAGAGTCCGGCTTTTTAAGACCTTGTTGCAGAAGTCCTGTCCCGATTCCGGTCTAGTTACCGTTCTTTCAGTTGCAGGGACAATGCGGGGACTCTTCCCCCTCTCTGACCGCCATTCCTCCATCAGTTGGGCCAATCAGTTCATCCCGATTGTCATCTAACCACTTCCTTCTTGCTGCAGGAGCAGCTGGTTGCATCAGTTGCCAGGTCTGGGCTCCTGGCCGAGGTAGCAGGATCAAAATGAGCTATTTCGAGCCCCAGGGCGCGGCCCCGGGGGGCCAGCCTAAACTGTTCATGCTCGCACCCCCTGGCCGTTGCGCACCTGAGGCTGAGTCAGAGGCACAGATTTAGGCCCGGCCTGCTGGGAGACTGGGCCCAAAGCCCGGCTGAGGATGAGAGTAGGGAGGGCCTGTTCTATGTCCTCCTGACATCCTGGCCAGGCTACCGCATTCTCCAGGAATCTGCTCCTAAGACCTCCATCTGCGTCATCCTCAGAGTTGCCAGGGCGGCGGCAGTGGATTAAAGGGACTGGAAACTCTTCCATGGGCCTCTTGGGCCCTGGGCCCCAATGACAGCGCTGTGCTCCCCACACCGGCAGCCCCCCCCACCTCAGCCTTAGTTTCCCCCCTGGAAATTGGGGAATCTTCATGACACCTTCTTGACAGCCTTGCCAGGCATTCAGCAGGCGCTTAATAAATGGCGAAGTCATTGTTCGGGTTTCTAAATAAGGCTTTCCTAATGGCTGAGTCTGGCCACGGTCCCAGTGTCCCTGGGCAGCCCTCCGAGGGGCCGGCACAGGGCTCACTATAAATCGGCGGCTGCGCACGCAGGGTCACTGCAACGCGAGGAGCAGGATGGAGATCCCGGTACCTGTGCAGCCGTCTTGGCTGCGCCGCGCCTCGGCCCCACTGCCCGGACTTTCGGCGCCCGGACGTCTCTTTGACCAGCGCTTCGGCGAGGGGCTGCTGGAGGCCGAACTGGCTGCGCTCTGCCCCACCACGCTCGCCCCCTACTACCTGCGCGCACCCAGCGTGGCTCTGCCGGTCGCCCAGGTGCCAGGCCTGGGGAGGGGCGAACTCGAGCAATGCCGGGGGGGGGTGGTCTGGGTCAGCCTGGGGTGGGGGCGTGTGACAGAATGTTCTTTGGCCTTGGGCAGGGTGGGGAGTCCGGCAGCTCCGAGGGGCTTCCGGAGTTCCTGGGAATCTCGGAGGCCAGCTCACTGCATCGGGTGGGAGGTCCCGGTCGCTCTTAGGTGTATGTGCGTCGGGGGCGTCTCATTAGCTCCCCAGGGAGTGAAAGGCCTGGGTCGCTCTAAGGGGAATTTTGCTGAATCTGAAGGAGGCTGGTGACCCGGGAAATCTGGGTAAAAGGAGGCGTTAAAGGTTGCCTGAGGGGAAGGAATGTTACTAGTCTCGGGGAAGAGTTGAGAGACTGTATGCGGTGGTTCCATGTCTCCAGAAGAGAAGGGGAAAGCCCTGAGACTTGAGGAAGGGGTCCTGGCCACTATGAAGTGGGAGAAGGCTACCAGTCGCTGCCGAGGTCCCTTGACCCTAGTGGGAAAGCAGGCAGAGGATTCTGGAGACGGAGGAAGGGGCATCTCGGGGAGTTTGTCGGGGCTGGGGAAAAGGGACCTGAGGCTCTGAAGAGGGAGCTGGGGAATCAGTGCCCTGGGATGCATGGTGACTTCGGATTCCCTGACACCGGGGGAGGGCGGAGGTTCCTGATCTTGCAGGGGAAGGGAGCCTCATCACTGCGGGGGAGAGCGCAATCCCAGATATTACAGGAGGGGGGCTAATCCCCGTTATTCGGGGTGAAGAGGTCCTGGGTGATTCCCAGTAGGAGAGCAGATTGCTGAGCTCGGGAGGCCAGAGTGAGCTGCAGCACGGAACCGATGGGGGTGGGGTTTCCCTGGGTGGGTCCCGCGAGCCTGGCATGGCCTGATGACAGTCCCACCCGCGCTCCCTGTGCGCAGGTGCCGACGGACCCCGGACATTTCTCGGTGCTGCTAGATGTGAAGCACTTCTCGCCGGAGGAAATCGCTGTCAAGGTGGTGGGCGAACACGTGGAGGTGCACGCGCGCCACGAGGAGCGCCCGGTGAGCCGCGGCGGGGGCGGGGCTAGATCGGGCACGCGCGCCGCCGGGCCGGAGGGGCGGGGCCGCTCAAGCCTCCCTCCCCTCCAGGATGAGCACGGATTCGTCTCGCGCGAGTTCCACCGCCGCTACCGCCTGCCGCCTGGCGTGGATCCGGCTGCTGTGACGTCCGCGCTGTCCCCCGAGGGCGTCCTGTCCATCCAGGCCGCACCAGCGTCGGCCCAGGCCCCACTACCACCACCAGCCGCCGCCAAGTAGAGGGCGGGGCCACGCCCGCACCCCGGGCTCCCTCTTTTAAAGCTGATCTGACTCCGCCCAGCCAGATGTCCTGATCGCGCCCAGGACTGTCCTCTCAGCCACTCCTGGATTCTGCCCTGACCTCCACCCTAGACACTGCCCTGATAACCTAGCCCCTTCCTCTGACACCCTCACTGTCACACCCCCTCCAGCTTTCAGACTTCACACCGACACCTCCCTGGCTTCCAGACCCTACCAGCCCTCCCCTAACCCTCAACCCACTTTCTTGGCATATAGCCCCACTTCAAACCGCTGCTCTACTTCCTTCTGAGTACTCGGCAAAGATATCCGGGTACCACATTTCCATCCCTTTCCTGCTTTGACACCAAATTATTGTGTAGACAGCACTCCCCCAACCCCAGGACAGTCAGGCACAATCCCTCCACGCCACAAATGTCCCGGACTGCACAGACCTCCCACTCCAGATCATCCGGGCCTGGTTCCCAAGACCCAATCCTTCCGCGGCAACCAGACAATCCACAACTGGCCCCTCCAGCCCATTTTCTGCCATAAAACTCCAGCCAGCCTCACTAGGCTCTGGAACTCTTTTCTGACTGCCCCATCTTGGACACCTATCCCAGGCCAACCAGAACACCCAACCCCAAATTGTATAGACTCTCCTGCCCCAACCTTCCCAGACTCTGCACAGATGTCCTAGGTCCCCTCCCCAACTCTGACAAGACACCTTACCCCATCCCTTTGTCTTGATCCCCAAGTCTCCAATACGAAATCTCCTTGGCAACCCACCTCCCACCCTCCTCTTCTTCAAGACCCAACCGAGCACCCCCTCTGATTCCCCACAGCCTTTCTCCCTGCCACCACTCTGTCACTTTCCCAGGCTCACTCTCCCAATAAATTTGTTGGAGCTCTGCCAACTACTTTGTGTCTGGGCCAGGAAGGATGAACCGGAGACACCAGTGTGGAGTTGGGAGACATTTACTGGGGTGGGGTGAACATCACTGGGTGGGGAACATCACTGTCGCTCATACATCTCCCGTAGGATCTTCATGCTTTCTGAGTAACGAAGCTGGTTCCGATGAGAGGCCTCCTTCCACCTGGGGAGGCAGAGGGACAACTCAGCAGTTGCAAGAGGCCCTAGGAGGCGCAAGCAGGCTGGGGGACACTCACCTCTGGCGGATGCGTTTCCAGCGCTGCATGTTGCGATAGATGAGTGTGGAGGGTGAGGGCTCGGGCTCGGAGGGCTGTGTGGACAGAGAGGCCAGGCTGAGTGGTCAGGTCTGAGCCCCACCACATGTGCCCCACAACCTTGAGCCAGCCTGGTGCACTCACCTCGTCATCAGGGGTGCCCTGCAACTCAGGTTGCAGCGGAGATGGGATGCGGGATCTGCAGGCATCTCCGGGTGGCCCGGGCGGTGTGGGTGGCGGCAGCTTGTACACATCACGATTCTTGCTGTTGGTGACTTCTGAACCCTGGGGACACAAGGGCCCCAAGCCAGGCCCAAGAGAGTCACAGCAGACAGCTGGGAATCCACATTCATCCCTCCTACCTTTTCCAGCATCAAACGGCATGAGGGGCTCACTAAGTGACTCAGACAGGAGGCATGTCTGAAGGGCAGACACCTCAACCAGCGAGGGGGTCAGGTCTGCCTGCCCCAGGGACCCCTGTCTTCTCCTATCCAGCCCAGAGACCCCATCTACACCTGTCATCCCAGGGAGTCATGTCTGCCTGCCTCAGGAAATCCTGCCGAGCGGGTCACATCTGTGCCACCTAGGAAGCTCTGTCCACTCTTAACAGTGTGAAGGGTCCTAATATGTCTGTCCTGGGGACCCTTGTCTACCCTCCTGGGCCAGATGGCTTACAGACCCCCATCCATTCCTGCCCAGCTCATCTGCTCCCCAAGGCCTGGTGGCCACAGGTCGGTACTAAGGACCCCTGTCTAGTCCCTCGGCTCTTGGGAACCCCTGACCTTGGAGATTCATATCTAACTACCCAGGGCAACCCTGTTCTCTGTCCCCAGGCCAGGTGGCTACGTATGTCTTCCCTAGGGACCTCCATCCACACCCCAGGCTAAGGGTGCACATCTGTGTGCCTGGCCTGATCCAGCATTCATGTGAGGGACCTGTGCCCATCTACCCCACTAGCTTACGGGGAAGAAGGACCCTTTGAACCTATCTACCCATTGCCCTGGCATCAGGCTGCTGGGCTGGGGATCACCACCCATCCCACCTCCTCATCCTCAGGCAGCGGGGGCAGGGGTGAGCTGGGAGAGCATTCACGCTCGCGCACAGAGGGGCTGTTTCGCATCCAGGCACGGCAGATCGGGTAGAGTGGCGTGTTCTCACTGAACTGGGCCAAGTCCACACTCCGGTCGAACAGCTTGATCACGTATGTATCTGGGAGGGTGGGGATGGGAGCTGTGTGAGCATCCTTGCATAGCCCCCCGGCTCCTTGCCTACCCTCTAGGGCCACTGCTGACTCACTGGATCGCTGCGGCCCTCCCTCAGCCAGCCCGTCATCCATTTCCCTCCTCTTCTTCCTCCGCTGGTGGGGGAAGCGGGCAGAAGGCCTGCGTAGGGAGGGGGAGTGTCAGGACTGGGGTAGGGGCTGGGACTCTGGTCAGCTGGCTGGGACCCTGTCACCTTACCTTTTGCCAGTGGCTGCAATGGAGCAGTCCCTGTAGGGAAAGAAAGTTGACCCTCAGTCAAATGCTTGTGCAAAACCCTGCAGAGGGTACCCTGGGGACACTGGTATCAAACCTAAGATACTCACATGAACCCCACCTGCCCCTTGGGCCTTTTATCCCACCCATACCCATGGATGTCTTGGTTGCAACCAAGAGGGGACCTAAGCTTCTCCTGACGAAGGGTCTTCATACAGGTGAACTGGTCAGGACCAAGATGGAGGAAGCACTGGGCAGAGTGGTCAGGGCTTGGGTAAGGGAAAAAGTTACCAACCACAAACTCTCAGCTCCACATCCAGTCAGAAAAACTCACTTATTGTGGGTGTCTGAAGGGGTTTTCCCAGCTTCCTCATCCAGACGCTCCCTAGAGGCAGAAGCGATCTCTCAGCCTAGGGTTCCAGGGCCCCAGAGAAGGAAGGCACCAAGCGGCCTCTCCATTACGTACCTTCCTCCCCAAATCAGCCTCCGGAGTCCCACCCAATCCACCCAGGATCAGAGGGCCTGACCTGCCAGGGTGCCTGGGCCTTGACCCCACGCTGGCCCACCTGTCCATATGACTCTTCTCCAGCAGACACTGCAGGACGGCGTCCAATTGGTTCCGGGCTTTGGCCATCTCCAGCTCTGAGGCAAGAGGGGACCCAGCAGGAGTCAGCTCCTAAGGCCCCAGCTAGGGGGGCAGCTGACTGGGCCAGGGAAGGGCATGCGTGTCCTCTGCCCCAGCCAATCTCAGAGCCAGGCCCAGGCAGCCTGAAAGGGTGCAGCAGACAGAGATGGCTGGAGTGATGCCAAGAGCTCTGAGTTCCAGAGCTGTCACGCATGATCACTCTGTGACAGGAGGTAAGGCCAATCACCTTATCCTAGGAGCCTTGGGTTTTAAAAAAAATTTGTTTTAGGGCCGGGCACAGTGGCTCATGCCTGTAATCCCAGCACTTTGGGAGGATGAGGTGGGTGAATCACCTTGAGGTCAGCAGTTCGAGACCAGCCTGACCAAAATGGAAAAACCCCATTTCTACTAAAAACAAAATTAGCCGGGCATGGTGGCATATGCCTGTAATCCCAGCTACTCAGGAGGCTGAGGCAGGAGAATTGCCTGAACCCAGGAGGCGGAGGTTGCAGTGAGCTGAGATTGCGCCATTGCACTCCAGCCTGGGTAACAAGAGCGAAACTCCGTCTCAAAAAAAAATTTTTTTTGTTTTAATGTAATATAAATTTATTACCAAAAAAAAAAAATTGCATACAGATGGAATCTCAGGATGTTGACCAGGCTGGTCTTGAACTCCTGGACTCAAATGAGCTATCTTGGCTTCCCAAAGTGCTGGGATTACAGGTGCAGGCCATTGCACTTGGCTCAGTGGCAAGCTTTAAATAGGCTTATGTATCACACGTAATAACCCACTGAATTCTCACAATAACCCTTAGAGGTAGATGTGATTTTTTTTTTCTTAAGGCAAGATCTCATGATGTTGTCCAGACTGGTTTGGAACTCCTGGGCTCAAGTGATCCTCCTGTCTTAGCCTCCCAAGTAGCTGGGACTATATGCATGTGCCACAGAGCCAGCTCAGATAGATATGATTTTTATTCCTATTTTATAGATGATGAAACTGAGGCGGCCGGGCATGGTGGCTCACGCCTGTAATCTCAGCACTTTGGGAGGCGGAGGCAGGCGGATCACCTAAGGTCAGGAGTTCAAGACCAGCCTGGTCTTGAACATGGTGAAACCCTGTCTTTAAAAAAAAAAAAAAAAAAACAACTGAGGCACAGAGATGTCAGGCCACTTGCTCAAAGGCACACAACAAAGAAATTGCAGAGCTGATGCTTTGAACCCAGGCTGGCTGGTTTCAAAGCTGAAGTTATGAGGCAGAGGCTCAACCTGAGTACAAATCTGGTTGAGGTAGTGGTATAATTTTGTTTAATTAATTAATGTATTTATTTTTTATAAGACAGAGTCTTGCTCTGTCACCCAGGCTGGAGTGCAGTGGCACAATTTCGGCTCACTGCAACCTCTGCCTCCCGGATTCAAGTGATTCTCCTGTCTCAGCCTCCTGAGTAGCTGGGATTACAGGCTTGTGCCATTACACCTGGCTAATTTTTGTATTTTTAGTAGAGATGGGGTTTCACCATGTTGATCAGGCTGGTCTCCAACTCCTGACCTTGTGATCCGCCTGCCTCTGCTTCCCAAAGTGCTAGGATTATGGCATGAGCCACCGTGCCTGGCCGAACAGTGGTATAATTTTAAATCTGAATTAAATCTGAATGAGCTGATATTTAAAAATTGGGAGATTTCACCTAAAACATCCTGTTTGGGCTTTTCTTTCTCCCCTCAGGAAATGAGATCTAGGCCCACCTGCCTGCCCTGTCAGCCTGTGGCTATCTCCCGTCATCACACAACTGGATGTTAGGATCTCCTACCTTTGAGGGGTATTTGCTCTGCCCTTCTGACTGGTGGGAGCTCTGGCTTCAGTGCTCAGAACCTGGAGGGGACACCTGGGAAATTGCCTGGCCAGTCCTGGGACGTCTTGAGAAGCCCAGGAGACATGGGGATTCAGACATAACTCAGAGGAGAGACAGCATGAGGGTGGGGAAAGGGGCAGCTGAGATTGCAGCAAAGCCTTCGGTGGATGCAGAGGGTAGAGATCACGCCCACAACTCTCCCCAGGCCCAGCTTCTCTCCTGAACCCCCGACTTGGGCCTGAAGCCTCTGTCTCAAGGGTGGCCTCACTGTCCCCAAGTCCCTCCCTGTACCTCACCATGGATACCCCTCTCCCTCCCCTATCTCAGCCCACCAACCCCATGGCCTGTCCACTCAGCCTCCCGAGTGCCTCTCCCACCCACCTCCTCCCTACTCTACCCATCCTGGTCCTGTCCTTTGCTCCCCCTGGGCTCCCTGCCTCAGTTTCCCTTCTGATCCACCTTCCACAGGTGGCCAGGGCAATCTTCCTGAAAAATAACAAACCTGACCCTGATCTTCCCCTGCTTGGAAACTTCCATGACTCCACAGCACCCAGAGGTGGAGTCTGCACTTCTCAGACTGGTACTCACAGGTGTACACCTTCCCTCAACATCATTTGTAGTCAGACTCCCTTCACTTTTCTTTCACTTTTCTTTTATTCCTTTTTTTTTTTTTTTTTTGAGACAGGGTCTCACTCTGTTACCCAGGCTGGAGTGCAATGGTGTGATCTCAGCTCACTGGGGGAGTGCAATGGTGTAATCTCAGTTCACTACAACCTGCGCTTCCGTGGCTCCAGCGATCCTCCTGCCTCAGCCTCCTGAGTAGCTGAGACTACAGGCTCATGCCACCACACCTGGCAATTTTTTTTTTTTTTTTGCTCTTTTTTAAAAATTCACGTTGAAATCCTTTTTTTGGCATTTTTTAAATAGAGACAGCATTTCGCCATGTTGGCCAGGCTGGTCTCAAACTCCTAACCTCAAGTGATCTTCAGGCCTTGGGCTCCCAAAGTGATGGGAATACAGGCACGAGCCATGGCACCAGGCCTCCCACTTTGTTTTGATAACACTTTTGCTGTCTGACATCTTACATCATTTTACTATTATCTTTCTGTCTAAATTCTGCACCGCTCCCACTGCTCTCACCATGTCAGGCCTGGGATCCCGTCAGCTCTGGCGCAACCCAAAATGACCTCTTTCTGAGCTTCTGTTTCCCCATCGACCACAATTCCTACTTCCTAGGATTACTGGAATACAGTGACTGTGAGGATTAACAGTGCCTATACTTCAGGCGCACAGCAAGATGTGTGACTCTGACCACTGCTAGAAATGGGGAAACTGAGGGGGAGCCAAGAAAAGCGGACTTCTCGGCCGGGCGCGGGGGCTCACGCCCGTAATCCCAACGCTTTGGGAGGCTGAGACGGGAGGATCGCTTGAGGCCAGTGTTCGAGACCAGCCTGGGCAACATGGCGATCCTCCATCTCTACTTAAATATTTTAAAATGTTAAATGAAAAAGAGGAAAGAAAAGGGCCCTTCTCAGAGTTACCGGCTCAGGATTCCACAGGTCTTACCACGCACCGCGCTGCCTGAGCCACCATCATTCAATCTCAAGGCGACTTCAAGCACAGACCCAGCGGGGGTGAGGGTGGCAGCCAACGCTCCCTGCCTGATACAGGGATTGTCAGGTGGCTGCAGGGAGAAGTCGCGCAGTCCCATTTCCGCAATACTCCCTTGTACGGGACTCCCACACTGTCAACCCGATGCTCCCAACAGGCCCCCGACGTCGGGGTCCTCACCTGATTTCTCCACTTTCACCTTCACGGGAAACATGGTTTGGGTCCGGGATCTGGCTAGCTGGGTCAGACGAGCCCCAAAGGGCCTAGGATCGCAAATCAAGGCGGGAGGCGGGCGGAGACAGTTCAAAGATTAGCTTCATGGGCCATGGGTCCTCCGCCTTCGGCGGTGTACAGCTTATACCGTGGCCTCCTCCCTTCTGTGGGCGGGCCCCTTCGGCAGTATCTCTTTTCTATTAGTTAATGCAGCCGTCAGTCTCGCATCCTGACCAATTAAGAGCTTCCTCCGTAGGCCACCAGCTTTAGATCCCACCTTCCTGGGACTTTGCTGCCGGAAACAAACCATCGACCGCCCAGCTTCCTGGGAGGTGTAGTTTCAGCTTCCTGGGAGTTGTAGTTTCAGCTTCCTGGGAGGTGTAAGTTTCAGCTCCAGACTCACCCCGAGTAACAGCGCCTGCGCCGCGCGGGGTACTGTGGGAAAGAAAGGATTAAGGCATCGCGAGGCTTTCTGGGATTTGTAGTGTTAGAAGATTTGAGTAACACCAATTTAGTTCTTTACCGGATTTAACCAACCGTTGGCGTCTCTCCATTCCTGAAAGGAAGACTAATGTAAAATAACGTTGAGTTCCCTCTCACTGAGCACTCGCTAGGTGCCAGGTAACTGCTAATCTCTTTGCAGGTACAACTTCATTCATTTTGCAAATATTTGTGTGCCGGGCACTCTTCTAGGCATTGGAGACACCTCGAGGAACAGAACAGACAAAAATCCTTGCCCTAATGGAGCTTATCTTTTAAAGGATGGAAGAGAAACAGTAAACAAGTAAAATATTTTAAGTGAAATGTAATAGGAGAATGTAGTTTGGGTGGGGCACGGTGGCTCACGCCTGTAAATCCCAGCACTTTGGGAGGCCGAGGCGGGCAGATCACCTGCAACCAGGAGTTCGAGACCAGCCTGGCCAACATGGTGAAACCCCGTCTCTACAAAAAATGCAAAAATTAGCCGGGTGTGGTGGCACGCACCTGTAATACCAGCTACCCGGGAGGCTGAGGCAAAAGAATTGCTTGAACCCGGAAGGTTCAAGGTTGCCGTGAGCCAAGATCGCGCCTCTGCACTCCAGCCTAGGCGACAGAGCAAGACTCCGTCTTGAAAAACAAGCAACCCCTCACTTCCCACCCCCACCCCCTCCATACACACAAAACAGCATAGCCTGAAAGGGACGTAACAATATCAAGGTGGTGATTGAATTTTAAATTAGATGGATGGCCAAGTAGCCAGGCATGGTGGCGCATGCCTGTAATCCCAGCTACTCGTAAGGCTGAGGCAGGAGGATCACTTGAACCCGGGAGGTGGAGGCTGCAGTCAGCCAAGATCTCACCACTGTACTCCAGCCTGGGCAACACAGTGAGACTCCATCTCAAACAAACAAACAAACAAAAAAAGATGGATGGCCAAGGAAGGATTCCATGAGAAAGTTCTTGACTACTTTTATTTTTGCAGACAACACTTCCTGCAGAAAATGGGAAACTTCCATTTATCACACGTCTTGGCCCAGATAAATCCTAGGAGGTAGGATTCCTGATTTCTGATAAGAATGCTGAAGCCACAGTAGGAAAGTTATGCTTTTGAATTCACGACTACCAGTACAGGATACCAGCCCCTAGAAATGGAAACACTAAACTGGGCGTGGGAACTCAAGCCTGTAATCCCAGCATTTTGGGAGGTCGAAGCGGGTGGATCACCTAGGGTCAGGAGTTTGAGACCAGCCTGACTAACATGGTGAAACCCCACCTCTACTAAAAATACAAAAAATTAGCTGGACATGGTGGCGCACACCTGTAATCCCAGCTACTTGCCCGGCTGAGGCAGGAGAATCGCTTGAACCTGGGAGGTGGAGATTGCAGTGAGCCAAAATTGCGCCATTGCACTCCAGCCTGGGTAACAGGCACCTAACTCCATCTCCCAAAACAAAACAAAACAAAACAAAACAAAAAACAAGAAATGGAAGCACTATTTCTTTCTTCCTCATCTAATAGTTTCCTGAGCAGGAAAGTTCCTAGTTCAGAAGATTATGAACAGTATTCACTGGAAAAAAATGCACATCATGTCTGAATACTAAGCCTGGCACAAAGAAAGCACTCAGATATTTTTAAATATTAATAAGCAATTTATGCCTCAACCTCTAAAAGATCCCAGGAAGTCAGTATGGAAAGTTAGGGTCCTTTATTGGGGGATGTCAGCAGAGAACACCGGAGATGAAAACAAGTCTTAGGGGTTTGAGAAGGGGCTCCCAGGACAGGCTCCTCTGCTCTAATGAGCCTGTCCTGGGAGAATGAGCAGGGCCCCAGCCTGTGCAGAAGTTGTCAGGGTGTGCCTAGGGGTATGGTGAAGGAGAGGTAGTCCCCAAGGGCACCCCAGCGAGGCCGGTAGATCTGGAAGATGGTGATCCAGGAGGTGAGCACTATCACCCAGAAGAGGAAGCCCACAGCTGAGCGCCAGACATCTGTCATGGAAAACAGAAGTGGGAAGGGTTCGCCTCCCAGCTGCTCTCCAGACTTCCCTAGATCAGCCTTCCCTTCTCACCCAGAGCCCCAGAATTCTTTGGGAGGCCGAGGTGGGCCTCCCATCAAGATTGTCCACTTCCCCCTCTCCCCAGCCACTGGTCTCCCTCCTCTGTGTTCTAGACTCACAGCCTTTGATTTGGCTCTGTTCTGTGTAGGCCGGGACAAGGAAGGCCTCTCGGAAAAACCAGAAGATGTTGACCAACCAAAGAAAAGGCAGGAAAGCAAATCCACCTAGGGAAAAAGAAAAAAAAAACCCAAAACCTCACAAGGCAATGAGGATCTTCCGCAGTTCCCACTTAGAAGATCTATTTGGAAGAAACTCTCTCACACTCAAGTTCAGTGGAGATTTCTGCTGTCAGGGATTCAGGAATCGGCCCCTCCTTGGGATCCAGGAATCTGATTCCTCAATCACCTCTTTCGCAGGACCCAAGAGTCCAGGCCCTTAATTCCCCTCCTCTCTTGGGATCCAGAAATTGAGGCCCAAGTTTCCTCGTTCCTCAGGACCCAGGCCCTCCCCACTTAAACCCAGGAGTAGGCGTTCGCAGGTGCTTCATCTCTTAGATTCATGAATCCAGGACCCAAGGCCCTTTTCCCCCCGGGTGCTCTAGTCCAGTCCCCTCTCTTCTCCTGGGACTCTAGCGATCTGCCCTTACCCAAGTAGTACTTCCGGCACAGGTTCAACTTCTCCTCATTGGACACTCGCTCCAGGTTCATAGTTGCGCTGGGGCCGGGTCGTCCCAAGGGTCTGCGGGGCAAGACCCAAGCCTTGACCCTAAGTAACAGATGCAAGGATCACGAACAACCACACCCTATTACGACAAGTCAGAGATAAATGTAAAGGTGGGTTTGCTGCAAGCAGGGCATCCCCGCCCCCACTAGCAAGCTGGCTGGGTTAAAGAGCTCTTTCTTTTTATTTACTAGGTTGGGCTAAACGACCCCCAACTCACCAAGAGAGCTGACTTCCTCCGGCTGGGATGCCTTAGCCACTTTCAGTTATGGATGTTTGCGCGAGATGCCCCAGGTTTCCCTGGAGATTGTAGTCTTCTTTGGGCGAGGCTATACTGCACGCAAGCGCCGTTGGGGGAACTCCTGCCGGGGAGTCTGCGGGGAGGGCGCGCACCTCCCAGGCGCAAGCGCCCTGGTGCGTTTCCGAGCGCACGGTACGCTCCTGGAGGGAGCAACGAACTACACTTCCCAGCGCTCATAAGGAACGGAAGTGACGTGGAGCAGCCAGACCTAGAGGGCTCGGGTAAAAATGGCTGAATATTTAGCTTCGATATTCGGGACTGAGAAGGACAAGTGAGAACGGACGCTGGGAGTGGACTCTTGAGGGGTCGGGGCCGGAGCACTGGGGTCCTGGATGGAGGGACGGTGTTTCTGGGGTGTCCGGCCTCCCCGGCCCTCTGTTCACCTCTGTCTTTGCACCTCTTCCAGGGTTAACTGCTCTTTTTACTTTAAGATCGGGGCCTGCCGGCACGGGGACCGGTACTCCCGGCTTCACAAGCCGACTTTCAGCCAGGTGAGACCCGGTGCTGAGCCCTGGCGGTTAACGCCTCCTAGCCCTTCCCCTTCTGGGGCAGTCGTCACCAGGTCCCGCCTATTCCGGGTTCCTGAGGCCCTCCTCACGCCCGGCTTTATTCTGATTGGCCCTTTTTGCAGTCCCCTCCCCCCAGTCTTAATACCTGTCTCCCGGGAACTTGGCCGCGCCCCCTTACGTGCAGTCTACGCACCTTGGCTGTGTCCTTGCCAGTCCCCTCCATCCTGTTTCTGTTTCCTAGGGTAAAGGATCACCGATGCACTCATGATGCTTAGGCTCCTTCAGGGGTGCAAGGTTCCACCCCCAACCTTCATGCCTCACTCTGTTTGCATGCAGCCCTGGCCTCTGATCTCAGGCCCCGCCCTTTTTAAATTCCGGGCAGACCATAGTGCTGCTCAACCTGTATCGGAATCCACAGAACACAGCCCAAACTGCAGACGGATCACACTGTGAGTAAGGGACCAGGCCTGGGGGCTAGGTGGACAGCCCCCAACAAGCTAGGCCCTGATTCCACCCTGCCCCCTCCCCCAGGTCATGTGAGCGACGTGGAGGTGGAGGAGCACTATGATAGCTTCTTCGAGGTGAGGGTTGACAGAGGTAGGTTGGGTTTCTTGTGGGAGCTCAGCTGAGTTCCTCCCCGTCTTCCACAGGAGGTGTTCACGGAACTGCAGGGGAAGTATGGGGAGATGGAAAAGATGAAAGTGTGCGACAACCTTGGGCACCACCTCGTGGGCAACGTCTATGTCACGGTGCTTGCTGTCCCCGGCTTAGGGCCCAGAGGTGGACGGATTTCAATGCCTGATGGTCACCACTGAAGCCTCTCAGCTTGAAGCTCATCACTAAATCCAGTCCGGCCCCAGAGCTGCTAATGAGTCCCCTGAAGATCTCTGAGTTCTACTGCTGACCCTGACTGACGTTTCCTGCAGTTCCGGCGGGAGGAGGATGCAGAGCGGGCTGTGGCCGCTCAATAACCGGTGGTTCAATGGGCAAGCTGTGCACGCCGAGCTGTCTCCTGTCACCGACTTCTGGGAGTCATGCTGTCGCCAGTATGAAATGGGGTATGGTAGTTCAAGGGTGGGATGGGCACTTGGAATCCCAGACTTTGAATGTGTGATAGGGGCTGTCATGACAATGGCCTCCTCCATCTCTCTGCCGTCTATGCAGGGAATGTACCTGAGGTGGCTTCTGCAACTTCTTCCATGGCCCATTTCCTGAAACCTCAGGCGGCAGCTCTATGGGCAGGGACCCAGGTGCAGGTACCTCGGAACAAGCCTGCTAAGTCTCCTCATGCCAAGTGGGTCCTATGTCCTCAGATGAGCCTGACCCTAAGCCCCAGTAACAACGTCCCCAAGACTCTTTCTTTTTGAAATGGAGTTTTGCTCTTCTTCCCCAGTCTGGAGTGCAATGGCACGGCCTCAGCTCACGGCAACCTCCGCCTCCTGGTTTCAAGCAGTTCTCTGCCTCAGCCTCCTGAGTAGCTGAGATTACAGGCACCCACCACCATGCCCAGATAATTTTTGTATTTTTAGTGGAGACGGGTTTCACTATCTTGGCCAGGCTGGTCTTGAACTCCTGACCTTGTGATCCACCTGCCTTGGCCTCCCAAAGTGCTGGGATTACAGGTGGGAGCCACCGCACTCAGCCGACACTTTTTTTTTTTGAGATGGAGTTTTGCTCTTCTTCCCCAGGCTAGAGTACAATGGTGCCATCTCAGCTCACTGCAACCTCTGACTCCCAGCTTCAACCAATTCTCCTTAGCTGGGATTACAGGCACCTGCCACCACACCCGGTTATTTTTTGTATTTTCAGTTGAGACGGGGTTTTAGCAGGGTGATCAGGCTGGTCGTGAGCTCCTGACCTCAGGTGATTCACCCATCTTGGCCTCCCAAAGTATGGGGATTATAGGCATAAGCCACCGCGCCTGGCCATTACCAAGACTCTTAGACCCTAAGTGTAGTTTTGAGCCCCATCTGGAGACCAGTACCTAAGTCCCAATCCCCAAACCAGCCTGAACCCCTAATCCAAGACCAGCCTGGATTGCCACCCCCGATATTGGCCACCAAGTACCTATTCTGGGCCATGTCTTAGAACTCTAGTTATTTCAGCATCCTCCTGCCTCATCCCAGAGGATGAGGCCTGCGGATCTCTGCACCACTCCTCAGGGTTCTAACCCAACTCTCAACACTCCTATTCCCAGGTCACCGCCAAGGTCCCATACTGGCCACCGTCCCCGAGAGAGAAACCGCCGGCATTCCCCAGATCACCGGCATGGCCGCTTCTGAGGACCTGGCTGCCTTACCCTTCGCCACCCACAGGAACAGATGTTCCTGGCAGGACCTCTCCTCAAAGCCCCCTTCACTTTCCTGCCCTGTCTTTCCGAGCCTCCCGGGCTCCATAATGTAATCTGCTCAACATGGAGACCTTCTTCTGCCGCCCCTCTGTTAATAAAGTACCATATAGCGAATTTTGCTTTGTTGTAAAACCACAGCAAGTGAATAGACATTTCCTTCCACCCACACATGTGACGAAAACGGGAAACGACATTGGGGTTCCGGCCACAGCTTCAGCTGAAGAACTTGGAACGGCCAGCTTGCGACCCAGGACCCCAACAGTACTGGTAGGGTGGGGACACCTTTGTGCTGGAAACCTTAGCACCTCCATCTAAGACTTCTTCAAGGGGGAGAGATCTGGTTTTGACACGTGGGAGGAGTCCTAGCCCCTAGGAGATTAGGATTCAAAGGTGAGGTGAGGTGCTGGGAGGTGGTCTCCAGCCAGTAAGGGCTGGTCTGATGACTACTGGCCAGAGAGGCTTACTTAGGGATTGAAATAGTGGGCCTTACGCAGATCAAATAGGGATGGCAGGCAGAGCCTGTGCAGAAAAGGATAGGGCGGGCTACCATAGGGCAACAGAGAAGGGATATGGCTGGAGAGGCGGGATAGGGACCATGTGGAAAGGGTGGGCTTTATGTAGATAAACTGGGCATGGGCTGGCTGCTCTGTTGCCTGCCGAATTGAGATGGGAGTTAGTAATGCCTGACAAATTGAGTTTACTATATGCCAGGTGCTATTCTAAGCACTTTAGTTTTTTTTTTTTTCTTCCTCCAGAACGTTTGTAAACTTGATAGTTGTGTGTTTTTTTAAGGAGTTTCACTCTTGTTAACCAGGCTGGAATGCAATGGCACAATCTAGGTCCACTGCAACCTCCACCTCCTAGGTTCAAGCAATTCTCCTTCCTCAGTCTCCTAAGTATCTGGGATTACAGGCACCTGCAACCACACCCAGCTAATGTATTTTTAGTAGAGATGGCGTTTCACCATGTTGGCTAGGCTTGTTTTGAACTACCGATCTTAGGGGATCCACCTGCTTCAGCCTCCCAAACTGTTGGGATTACAGGCATGAGCCACTGCGCCCAGCCATTTTTTTTTTGGTTTTGGTTTTAGCGATGAGGTATTGCTGTGTTGCCTAGGCTGGGCTGGAATCGGTGGCTCAAGCAATCCTCCCACCTTGGCCACCCTAGTAACAGGGACTATCGGCATGAAGCACTGCACTTGGTAAAGTGCTTTTTATTTTTTGTAGAGACGAGGTTTCATTTGGTTGTCCAGGCTGATCTCAAACTCCTGGGCTCAAGTGATCCGCATGTCTTGGCTTCTCAAAGTGTTGGGATTTCAGGTGTGAGCCACTGCACCCACCCTCTGTTTTACTTCTAATAACGGTTCTAATTCTCCACAATAACCCTATAAGACAGGTGCTATTATTGTCTCATTTAGGTATGGAAAAGGGACGGTGGGTAGGTGAGGACATGGCAGAGGTGGGATATGCATTCTTGCAATCTAGATCCCGTAGCCCGCTCTCTTAGCCCCCTTGTGGCCTTGGCTTTTCTGATAACCGGCTGAGTTGGGGAATAGATTACCGGCTTCCGAAGGAGCGTGGGAATTCTGTTCCTCCACATCACCGTGTCCTTTCTTCGGCTCGGTTTCCCCGGAAAAGTGTGGCAGAGGCGCTGTGTTTGGAAGTCCCGGTATCACGGCCCCCCAGATGGGGCCTGGACTACCCGTCTTGACGGCCTTGCTGCTTCTGGCCCTGGCGCCACCGCCGGAAGCCTCCCAGTACTGCGGCCGCCTTGAATACTGGAACCCAGACAACAAGTGCTGCAGCGTCTGCCTGCAGCGCTTCGGGCCGCCCCCCTGCCCAGGTGAGAATCCAACACCCAGCCTTGCTTGGGTGGAGCTCGCAGGTGATCCGGAGCGGGAAAGGGGCAAGATCTGTGGGCTACGAGCCAGAGAGGCTTGCTTAGGGATCGAAGCGTTGGACCTTATACAGATCAGATAGGGATGACGGGCAGAGCTTGTGCAGAAGGGGATAGTGCGGCCTACCGTAGGGCAACAGCGAAGGGATATGGCTGGAGAGACTGGCAGGATAGGGGCCGCGTATAAAGGGTGAGCTTTATGTAGATAAAATGGGCGTGGGCGGAACTTGGTGCAGAGCTGGAGGGGGATGAAGAGATCCCGGAGAAAAGTGACAGGAGCGGGGCGTACGCTGATAGGCTGGGAGCGCCGTAAGGGGGCGGAGCTCGGCGGGATTGGGCGAAGGGAGAGGGCGTTGCCTGCGCAGGGTGGGGTTAGGCGGCCACACTGAAGCACAGCTTTCCCGCTAGACTACGAGTTCGAGGAAAACTGCGGGCTCAATGACCACGGCGATATCGTAAAGCAAGCGTTCCGAAGGTGTCCTCCTGGGTGGTGCAACCCCGACGGCGCCGAGCTATGTAGCCCCTGCGGCGGCAGAGCCACGATCCCCGCTCCCGCCGCGGGCAGGGGCAGAACCCCGTGGCGCTGCAGAGAGGTTGCAGATGGGACTCCGGACTGGGCAAGGGCGTGCCGGAGTTGGGGGGCCTGGATCTAGGGAGCGGGCATAGCCTCACGTAAGGGGTAAGGGGCGGGGCCGTGGTATAGGGAGGTGGCTGGCCTGCAGGGGTCGGGAGGTCCTAGGCTAAGGTAATTGGGCCTTGCAGGACCCAACTACCTTATCAGGTATCACATCAGATGGGCTGTGGCCCCATCAAAGGGTTTGATGAGTATGGGCGGTTTGGAAGGGGGCTGGAGTGTGGCCTCTTGCTTTACTCCAACCCCTTATCCCTAGAGGCCGGTCCCTGCCAAGGGGCACTGCACCCGCACACCTGGAAACCCAGGTGCCACTACCTCCCAGGAGCGCACCTCACCAGCAAGTTCCATTGCTTCGAGGACGCCTGAACCTGTCCCTGGGCAGACGTTGCCGAGTTTCATCCCGCTCTTGGTTCTGGTCCTGCTCCCGACTTTGGTGGTGACAGCGATCCTCCTGTTTGCTCTGCTCTGGCACTTCTGCTGGCCCAAGGGGAAAGTGGACCCCTATCCCTATCCTGGCTTGGTCTGCGAAGTCCCCAATACCCACACCCCCTCGAATTTGTGCTCCCCAGGCGCCCTGGAGACAGGGGACACATGGAAGGAGGTTTCTCTACTTCCACTCCTGAGCAGGGGTTAGTCCAGGAAGAGCCCCGGGGAGGGCAACTGGATGTCCTTCCTCCCCTTTACCCTTCCCCTCTCTCTCCCAGAACTGCTCAGTCTGGCATCACAGCCCCTGTCTCGCCTCCTGGATGAGCTGGAGGTGCTGGAAGAGCTGATTGTACTGCTGGACCCTGAGCCTGGCCCAGGTGGGGGCATGGCCCATGGCACTACTCGACACCTGGCCGCAAGATATGGGCTGCCTGCTGCCTGGTCCACCTTTGCCTACTCGCTGAGGCCGAGTCGCTCGCCACTGCGGGCTCTGATTGAGATGGTGGTGGCAAGGGAGCCCTCTGCCTCTCTGGGCCAGCTTAGCACACACCTGGCCCAGCTAGGCAGGGCAGATGCATTAGGGGTGCTGTCCAAGCTTGGCTGATCTGGGGTTCACTGGGCTTAACACTCCATCTTGCTGACTACTAGTCCCAGCATACAATTAGCACTGAAGTACTTCCTGAAGTACAATCCTAACTGGGCAAAGACTCAACAGATACCCTCACTGCTCTTTGCCATAGAAGGAAGGGCCCATTCCAACATACACACAGGGCCACATGTGGGAGGGCTGACTCCAGGTGCTCCTGGGCCACCAGAATCCCCTCTGAAAAACAGCCCTGCTACAGGCACTTGCTGTGATCTGTGTTGTTCTGAAGCTGTAACAGACCTCATGACTGACTTCTAATTCTGAATGATGGCCTCTCACTACCTGTTGAGGCTGAAATTCCTTGGCTCCCAATGGGTAGTTGTGGAGAAGTGGGGTTCCTACCTGCCCCTACATCCTACAAATGGGAAGACCACCTCTCCAAACATTGACAGACTTTATTGTGGGGGGGTTCCCACCTGGGACCCCACCTCTTAAATAAAAAAGTGCATAGAAAAGAAGGGATTTAGAAACCTTTGTACAATATCTACATCCTGGGCCCCCCGGGCAGAAAGGGGGCGATTGCTGGGTGGGCTGGAGGGATGGAGGCGGGGCCCTTGCCGCCTGCATGCCCACATCCACCCTGAACATGAGGGTGAGGGTGAGATGCTCTAGGAGGGGCTAGGGGCAAGATGGCAGCGACGGCAGCAGGAGGTGTGAGGGGTCGTGGTGGGTGGCCACGGCCTCAGTTAAGGAACCGACGGCAGCGCTTGGCGCCACAGTTGCAGGGCAGTTTGTTGCTGGCATCCTCGATGGGGAACTTGTAGTCGTAGGTGAGCTCCTCACCACGCAGGATGCGGCGCAGAGCAAAGATGACAATGTGTTTCTGGCCCTCCACGTGGATGACTCGAGAGAAGCAGTTGGGCTCACAGGAGTGGTTGATGAAGCGGGCAGCATTGCCATGCATTGTGGCGTCCACGACGTCAAAGTCATCCATGCGGAACATGTAGCACCCGATGCCCTGCAGGGATCAGGCGGGGGATTAGGTGCTCAGTCCCTGTGGGCCAGCCCACTTCACCCACTGCTTTCCCACTGTCACTGGGAGCCCACCTTCCCATCATAGAACTTCTCCCGCTTGTCGGTCAGCACTGAGCGGATGACGATGCCAGAGTACTCAATGACCATCTCGCCCGCGTCGATGTTGCGCTTACAGAACAGGCCTCGCCCGTGAATGGCTGATCTGCAAGGCAGGACAAATAGGGAACTCAGGGGGGAGGGAGACAGAAACCAGACAGCACCCCTAACCCAGCGCACCTGTCGGTCCACCCAGGGGCATCCTCCCCCCCAACCCCACTCACCTGTAGACACCCACAGCCTCTTTGGACGTCTTCTTAAGGTGACGAAAGCGCATGGCCATGGGCAGCTCCAGGCTGGTGGCACGTCTGGTGAGGGACAGCAGTGTCACCCAGGCTGGTGCTCAGAATGACCTTTCTCACCCCTGCTCACTCTCTAGGACCCTTCCAGACCACCGCCTGCCTCCCAGCTCACACTCCATACCTGGTTGACCTGAGCTGCACCTCATCCTCCTCCTCGTCACAGGTGGCCCCCTCAGGGAGCACCCGGTGCTGGGAGGCCAGGAAGTTGAACATGTCAAAGGTGCACTTCCTGCAGGTGGGAGTGGGGAGGGAGGAATACACTATTGAAGACACAGCTAAGGGGGAAATGGGTGGGGTTCATTCTTCTGATGTCAGCTCTAGAAATAACTTTTTTAAAATTTTATTTTAGAGATGGGGTTTCGCCCTATTGCCTACGCTGATGTCAAACTCCTGGGCTCATGTGATCCTCCGATTTTGGCCTCCCAAAGTGCTGGGATTACTGGCATGAACCACTGAGCCTGGCCAACTCTAGAAATAATTTGAAGTGACCTAGTATCTCCTCCCCAGGCCTCAGTTTCCAACCTCTAAACAGTTAACTCCAACCAAGAGCTCTCATAGGGCACCCTGACCCAGGCATCACACCCCAGACCTCTCACCGGAGATAGACCTCTGCCCGAGCGGCCCCGTGGGGATTCAGGGGTGGCTCCTCCTGGCCCTCTCCCTGCTGGTGGTAACGGAACTTATAGTGCTGGCAGCGCTGGGCCCCAGGGAGCTGCTCGGCCAGGAAGATGACAGCATCATGGTGGATGCCCAGGAGCCTCGCCCCACTCATTCCTGAAGGGAGATGTTGAGGACACATCTGTCACGTGGAGGGCCCATCGTGCCCTCAGGGGAGACATCCAGCCCCCAGCCCGCTTCGGGCACACCCCTTACCACTAAAGGAGAGATGTCTGAGCCGGGCATGCCCTCGGGCCTCTTGCACTTTCTCAATCAGAGTTCTCCATGCCCCTGGGGAGAGAGCAGGCCAGGGCTGAGTCAGGATGGTGTTTTATGGACACTCTCCCTCCTGCCACTGCACCCCCTACTCACCCTCCAAGCTCTCTGCTTCCACGCTGAATCCATCCTCACTGCTGATCTCGAAGCGCAGATGTGGGCCAGTCCGTTTTGGGGCCTGGTTCTCTTTATCCTCTGGGGATGGAGGCTCTTCCTCAGAGCTCGAAGCCTCACCTGGTCCCAAGAAGCAGGTCGGAGTGAGGATCACCCTTTCCGGACTCAAAAGCCCCCGAGCCCCACTGTGCTCCCAGCAGACACCACTCTCTCCACTCCTAGGCGCAGACACAGATACTGGGGTCTAATGGCCCTCCTACTGCTCCAGTTACCATCTCGTGAGCCCTGCAGAATGGACATTTCTTCCCCTCAAGAGGCTATAGTACCTCTTCTGCAGGACTTCTTGGGTACAAGAGCATTCCATGGAGGCTTAGGGCCTTTTGGCAGGACACACTTATGGCTCACTCAAACCCAGTGTATCATAAATCCCATCTACCTATCATTATTCTGTTTCTCACACAAAATTTAAAATACTGGAGAACTGCCAGGTGCAGTGGCTCATGCCTGTAATCCCAGCACCTTGGGAGGCCGAGGCAGGTAGATCACAAGATCAGGAATTCGAGACTAGCCTGGCCAATATGGGGAAACCCCGTCTCTACTAAAAACACAAGAAAAATTAGCTGGGCGTGGTGGTGCACGCCTGTAATGTCAGCTACTCAGGAGGTTGAGGCAGGACAATCACTTGAACCTGGGAGACAGAGGTTGCAGTGAGCCAAGGTTGCGCCACTGCATTCCAGCCTGGGCGACAGAGCGAGACTCCGTCTCAAAAAAAAAAAAAAGAAAATTATATTTTGCACATTTTTTTTAAGATGTGGCAAATTTCTGTAACTACTACAAATATATTAAAATTATTTTTATCAGTCTCATTCTGTCGCCCAGGCTGAAATGTGATGGCGCAATCTCGGCTCACTGCAACCTCTGCCTCTCAGGTTCAAGTGATTCTCCTCCCTCAGTCTCCAGAGTAGCTGGGATTACAAGCGCCCACTACTATGTCCAGTTAATTTTTGTATTTTTAGTACAGACGGGGTTTCACCATGTTGACCAGGCTGGTCTCAAACTCCTGACCTCAGGTGATCCGCCCACCTTGGCATCCCAAAGAGCTGGGATTACAGGCGTGATCCACTGTGCCCAGCTACAAATATATTATTATATAGGCTCACATGCACAAAGCCAAGTACTGTATGTTATGAGCTATTTAGGGGATTTCTCAAGGGTTAACAGATTAAACAGAGCAGACGGGACGTGCTGATGCAGCAGATGTGGATGTGAGGAAGAGGGTTGGGGGTCAGGACAACTCTGAGCCTGAACACCTGAAAGGATAAACTGCCACAGACTGAGACAGCGACGTCTGTCTCAGCAAAAGAAGAACGGGTTTGGCGTGTGGGTGGAGGGCTTAGTTTGGGACATGCTGACTTTGAGAGGCCTCTTAAAAACCACCCTCTGCAACCTGCTAGTGGAGATGATGGGCAGGCAGCAGGACGGGCTGGAGGAGGCCACAGTTCAGGGACAGGGTCTAGGCTACAGAAAGCAATGTGGAGATAATCAGAACACAGATGGAAGGACAGCCACCAAGCTGGAAGGAAGCCCCTGGGAGTGTGTGTACAGAGAAGTCAAGGCCAGGGCCCTGGGACACATCTAGACTGGCAGCTGTGGGCAAGAGGGCAGGACCAGGGGTGAGAACAGGAGCAGCTCTGGAAGCTATGGAAAACAGTACTTCAAGGTGGGAGGGACCTGCTGCACCAAATGCTGCTGCTGCTCAAGCAGGTGTGGGCTGGGGACTGACCGCTGCGGGGTAGGAGCACAAAATCTTGAGTGGAACAGGTTTAGGAGAGACAAGACCCGCATGGCCACATTCTCCCCACGTCACCTCTCTGGGCCACCCTACCCCACCTCCCCCGCCCAAGGGAGACTCTAAAGCACACTCCTGCCATGTGACTCCCGCTCTCTCCAGGCCTCAGTGCCCCAGAGTCCACCTCTGACAACTTCTTCCCTGTGTCCCCGCCCCTCACCTCCAGTGTTTCCCGAATACGGCAGGACTGACCACAGGGCCCTGGCAGGCGCTCTCAATGTTCGCTTTAGCAGTGCCTGCTCTAACTTGCCCTGGCTAACTAACGTCTGTGTCTCCCACCAAAATGTGGTCTAGTCCTTGAGGACAGGGACCTCCCAAAGCCACTGCCATATTCTTATGCCATCTCTGAGACATAAGCAGCCTCTGAGTTAAGCAGTCTCAATCCACGTCCACTTCCCTGCTGAGCAACTGAGCTCTGTGTCATGAGAAAATCCAAACATCTGGACAGGATTGGGCCACCAAAAAATCCCAGCTTCAGGCTGCTCAAACACCAGTTTACATGGCTGCAACCATTCCCCCCACAACCGCCCTCAGGGACCAACAGAGAACTCCACTGCCAGCTTCAAGGAGTCCATCAGCCAATCCTCCTCCCAGCTCCTCCCACCCTGCACATTACAGTTTCTGCATAAACACCTGCCTCCCCACCTCTTCTTCACCTCAGAAGTAACCAGTTCAAAACCAGCCACCAAGGCCGGGCGCAGTGGCTCAAGCCTGTAATCCCAGCACTTTGGGAGGCCGAGGCGGGTGGATCACGAGGTCAAGAGATCGAGACCATCCTGGTCAACATGGTGAAACCCCGTCTCTACTAAAACTACAAAAAATCAGCTGGGCATGGTGGCGCGTGCCT